CCGGATCTTCACGGGGAGGTCATTCCAGAGGGCCGGAGCAGCCACAGAGAAGGCCCTCCTCCGGGTAGTCGACAAACGGCATTGGCCGGCGGATGGAATTCGGAGGAGGCCTAGTCTGTGGGATCTAATCGGTCTTTGGGAGGTAATTGGCAGTAGGCGGTCTCTCAAGTACCAGGTCCAATACCATTTGTGGGATATAGAACACAGGTGATCTCTGTAGCTATGCTTTCCCTGTGAAACAGCATTCCCTGGAAGTCCATATGGTCCTGACTCTGTGGTACTTTCACAAAACTTTAAGGCTGGGTTTTTCAATAAGCTTTGGGGCAGTTTGGATCATGATCTATTTCTTGTTTAACTTTCTTTAAATTGTTATTGGGTCCTGTTTTGTTCTTGGTGTAGTTGTATATTATTTATTTTTATTGTTTTTAACCCTTATGTTTAAGCTATCTAGAGTTGTTTTGTGATTGAGATGGCATACATACTGAACAAAACAAGTAAACTATTTGAAAAATTCATTTTATTTCTCCCTCAGAAAAAGCCTGTTACCTATAATAGAAGTTTTAATTTTCTAAATTTTAAGATTGTATCATAAGGTCTACAGTATCTTGGATCAATGACTGTCAGGTTTTGTTCACTGGAAAATTCTCCTTATGGGCTGTCCTGTGTTATGCCAAAAGCTGGCTCACCTAAAGCAATCAATTCACTTTGAACATGCAATATAAAATTTTTAAGCCTGCATAGGACAGTATACACTACTAGGCTACTAGCATTCACAGATTGCTGAGAGACTTGTGCTAAAGCAGAACCACAGCTCATATATCTTTGGCTACCACACCTGGATTGGCATAGAACAGTGATGGCGAACCTTTTCAGCACCAAGTGCCAAAACCAGAATGTACGTGTGCGCCAGAGCGCTGGAAACCCAAAGACCAGCTGACCGGTGCGCATGCGCACAACAGCCAGCTGGTCTTTGAGTTCTGCCGCTCTGGCGCACACAAAGACCAAGTGGCTAGCGCGCATGCCCGTGCTGGAAATCAGAAGAGCAGCTGGCGATGGCACGCGAGCCCACAGAGGGCTCTGCGTGCCACCTCTGGCATCATGCCATAGGTTCACCATTATGGCCATAGAAGCTACTCGGAAGGTGTGGAATGCAATAGCACCACACATCTTCAAACCACGCTAATTTAAATTTGCAAATTGTGCTAAGGAATCATTAAACTAAATAACTCCTGAAATGTACTAAAAAAGAGATGACACATTGATCTCACCATATCCAACAAAAGATCCACTTTCAGCCGAAGAAGATTGTTCTCTTCTTCCAGTTGCTGATTCCGTTTGCGAAGACGCTGTGTCTCCCTGCGGTCCCCACTGCTTCCAAATGATTCTGGAATTACATATCTCAAGATTATCTAATTTGTTTTGCTCTAGGTATTTCATGGAAAATGAGAGCCAGAACCCCAGCAAAAACCAGTCACATTAGCTTTACTAAAATAGGCAAAATAACAAGTCAGAAAAAACAACAAAAATCTGATAGAAAATAACATTTTATATAGAATTGTTAAAGCATAATAAATAAAGTCATGTGTTATAATATATAAAGCCAAGGCCCGAAAAGGTGTCTTTGAATATCATAACATTTTACTTGCAGTTGAAAATTCTACAATGACAGTCATGACAACCAAATGTTTTAATGATGGTTGTAAAAATAAGGTCTTGTATTAGTAAATTCAAGTTTGAATTCTTTCTGCATTCCAGTCTGCAAGATAGTTTTACCTTTCATTTACCAGTTGAACAGATTGAAGCCTATTGTAGTTTTCACAGAAAGGGCTCTGTTTCATTCAGGCCCAAAGCCCCTGTTGTTTCCTCCTTGTTTACAGCATCCCAAAACTCAGAATATGTATTTTAAAGTTTCCAAATACTTCTCAGATTTGGATATAGGTAGTCGTCAACTTATGACCATATTTGGGACCCAAATTTTGGCTGCTAAGCAATTAAGATTGTTTGTTGTTGTTTGTTGTTGTTAATTGCGAAGTCATGTCTGACCCATAGTGACCCCATGGACAACATTCCTCCAGGCCTTCCTGTCCTCTACTATCCTCTGGTGTCCATTCAAGGTCACGCCTACTACTTTGGTGACTCCATCCAGCCACCTCATTCTCTGTCGTCCCCTTCTTCTTTTGCCCTCAATCTGTCCCAGCATTAGACCCTTCTCCAGCGAGTCCTTCCTTCTTATTAGGTGGCCAAAGTATTTGAATTTCA